CTCATGCTGTTGATTACTGGATTGTCTGGTCCAGACTCGATTATTTACAGACCGCCGCCATATAGGTGGAATATTGCTGAGTGCGGTGTAAAACTAAACTCACTCACTCACTCACCACCAAAGTAGAACTTTTCCGGAGTGATTAACGGTTTTATCAAAGGAGTGTCTCTCCGTGTCCAGCTTGTCAAATAACACTAACTATCAACATATCCTAACATATCAGCAATGCTATCTTCAACGCTGTCAGGGTCCTCACCAGTTCTAACAGTAAGATCACCTCCAATCATAATATACACGTCACCGACACCATGCAAAAAGGTTAATAATTGTTCAAACAACATCGTGATTCCACATTTACATTGTTTTCGGTCATACCCATTTGAACCACTAGGATGCACATTCACCAATGCTGTTACTTCATCTTTAAGGGTTCTTCACACTTATTTCGAGTTAACAGGAATCAAGGAGAATCAGCCAGAAAAAAAATATTTCCAAAATACGGGAGAAAATGTCTAAATAAATAATTTTGTCAAGCTTTGTAAGAATGCTGTTGGAATACTTAGAACCCACTTCGAACCCGCCTCTAATGATTCTTTTTTTCTTTTTCCTTTTTTATTGGTTCCCAGGATTACAATGTCATGATATGTAGAACAGTGATGTACAGACAGATGGATGATGGATTATGTCAATATCATGTTAATACACATATATAAGTCAATAAAAGAGAAATATGACCTCAGGTAAATTGGATACATTTTAAATTCATCAAAGTACTGGGAAGAGAAGACCCCATTTATGATTGAAATCTTCTATTTTATTTTTGCTTTTGCATATATGATTTTCCACAAAGAATATTTCTTTCAAAGTTTTTATAAATAGAGTTATGTTTGGATGCGTATTTTTAATACTGCATACGTAAATGTGTCTTTTTGCTGCAATGATGATGTGATTTAGTAATATGATTCTTATGATTCTTATTCATTCCAAATGTACTAGATCACGAATGCAGCTCGAATGAATAGGCATACAGTAAGAAGTGAGGCGAGGCGAAATTGGGTTTAACGTCGTGCTTGAGAATATTTCGCTCATATGACGACGTGCATGCGTGTGTATGTGTATGTGCGGCTGCTTGTATTAGCCCAGACTGAAGCTGGTTTTATAGTGCTAACCCACTGAGATACCATGCCGCAGTGAAGCACGAATACCCCACTCAGACACATTATACTGACTCCGAACCGACCAGTCCTTGTTGTACCCATTAATGCCGAGCGCCAGGCAGGGACCAACAAGTACCATATTTTAACGTCGTTTGGTATGACGCGGTCGGGGAATACAGTAAGAACAATTAGAAAGGCGTTAGAATACACTACGAATACTTAAAATGAATTTCGACTGCCGTACGAGTCCGGTTCGATTGCTGCATGAATAGCTGTACGAATTTACATAGAATGCATTCAGAACCTTCTTGGAATGACCCCCGAAAATGGATCGAATGTTAAAGAAATAAAACAAAATGCAGCTCGAATATTTCAAATGTCCTTCAAATGCACTTAGAATGTAACACGAATGTCCGGAATGCATCAAGAATGCTGCCGGAATGTTCCACGATGGGGTATAAAAACCTGTTGAATCTGGACTATTCATCAGTCACTGCCCGACTTCCATAGAGTATGGACCACCTGGACCATGTTGCGTTGCTCCAGATTGCTGTACTCCAGCAAGCCCTGATTGAAACAAATGCGGAGAAGAAATAGGAGAAGATCCCAGAGAAGACCCCGGAGATTCCAGACCAGACCATGGCTGACAGAGGAAAGGAGAGGCTGTATGACACAACACAAGACTGATGGAGGAGCTCAGAGTTGAGGACACGCAGTCATTCTTTAACTACCTTAGGATGGAGCCTGCCATGTTTTATGAGTTGGTGCAGACAGTGGGACCAAGAATACAGAAGCAGGATACATATATGAGAAAGGAACTACCTCCAGGCTTGAAGCTAGCCATTACATTGAGGTTCCTGGCTTCAGGCGATAGGTACCCAAGCACCATGTACAGCTTCCGCGTGGCAAGGAACACAATCAGCCTGATCATCCCAGAAGTATGTAAGGTCATTGTGGAGGAATACAAGGATGAGGTTATCATCTGCCCTACCACTCCAGAAGAATGAACAACCATTGAAGATGTATTCAGAAACAGGTGGAATATTCCTTATGCCGTAGGAGCTTTAGATGGCAAACATGTGGCCATCAGGAAACCTACCAAGAGCGGCTCATTGTACCACAACTACAAGGGCTTCTTCTGTGTGGTCCAAATGGCCCTTGTGGATGAAAACTACAAGTTCCTGAGGGTGGACGTTGGATCTTACGGAAGTATGTCTGATGCTCAGATCTTCAACACTAGGATTTGCGAGCTCAAGGATTGGCTTGAAGACGGGAGCATAGGATTTCCTGATCCGTTCTCCTTACCCCAAGATGACTAGCGTATGCCATGCTCTATTCTGGGAGATGATGCCTTTGGAATAAGGGCCTTCTTGATGAAACCGTATGGTCATTGGATTCTCCAGAGAGACGAGAGAATCTACAACTATCAGCCGGGGCCAACGGGTAGTGGAAAATGCATTTGGAATCATGGCCCACAGTTGGCAAATCCATCTCACCACCATGCTGCCAAGGCCTTCCTTGGGAATGTGTGTCTGCCTGCACAACTTGATGAGGACTCGTTATCCTAATCTCTACAATGGAATGGTGGATGAGGAAGATGAAGATGAGCAGCACAACGTGGTGCCTGTAGGCTGGAGACAACTTGCGCAGCTTGAAGATGTGAATGATATCTGAAGTTGCAGTGACGTTTTTATAGGGATTCGGCGGTGTTCTGATGACGCCAGGGCTCTTTTGAAGAGCATTCGAGACGTTGTGACAGTATTCGAGGTGTATTCGATGTACATTCGAGCTGTATTCCAAGTGCAATCGAAATATTCCGATACGTTTGAGGAATATTTCACCTAAATTCCACCAACAATCGAAGTACATTCGAGGCGCATTCGGGACATTCTTGCCTTTTCGATTATCCCTTGAATTCGTTCAGAATAATTAGAATGCAGTTAGAATGCAGTAAGAATACTTAGAATGCAGTTAGAATGCACTTCAAATGCTCTTCGATATTTTTCCACTTCGAATGTACCTCGAAAGTTTTGAAAATGGAGTAAAAAGGTTTTAGAATGCGAATTTCCAGGAATCTCCAGGAATTTTCATCCCGACGGCATTCCGGCTCATTCCGCCTCAAGTGTGAAGGGGGTATTCTTGTCGATTAAACATTGTGAAAATAACATTATCTCAAATGGCCGTTCTTTTCACAAATATTTCGAATAATATTTTCTTAATTAAACCAACAAGACCACCAGAGAGCTTTCCTTTTACAGACGTTTTTATATCATTCAAAGTGATGCAATTATAGTGCAGACCCCGATTTCTCGGGTTTTGACTTTACAGTTTTGACTTTGAATTTACAGTTTTTACTCAAATTTGAGCAAAAGCAGGAAAATACATTTCCCACAATAAACTGAAATGGATATTAAGCTCCAACTTAGTAGACAATTTGCGTTAGGTAGATAAGTTACATGCGTGGTCTCGTCGTTTTGGATTTAGAATTACGACTGAGTTAGAAACTCAGCTGTTTCAAATTGTCAAACTCAGTTTGAAGTTTGAGTAAAAACTTTGGTTTGTTTCGAGAAATCGGGGCCTGGAAACAATGGGTATAATCAAAGTCACGAACCCATGTTTCTGACAGTCACAAAATCGAAGTGCTGGATGAATTGCATTTATATTTTAAAAACCGGCAGTGTTCCAAAATAAATAGCTAACTGTCTTTTGTTCTGATTGGCTGCATATTCGGACTCGACCACGCCCCTATTTACCATTTACAGTTACTTGCGTATCTGCTGCTGGTTAAGAGGACGGTTACAATCACATGATAGATGGTTCGGCAGTATTTGCTGTTGTCCTCGTAAGACAAGAAAACAAAACCTATCTACACCAGCTGAAACAACATTTACGTCATGAAAAATTTGAGTGCAAATACTCCACGTCTGAATACACAGTAAAACGTGAAGCTCATTTTCAACACAAATATTGCAGCGCATCGCGCAAATTGTCTTCAAATGGTTGTATCTTGCAGAAGTCAAAGGTCATTATCAATTGAGGCTAATTAAACCCTTGAAGAACCTTTCCCTGCGGCTGTAATAATGCATGGATATATTCTAGACAACATGCTGCTCTCAGGGGCGTAGCTTCCCTTATAAAGAAAACCCGGGGTTACACATGATTGTTGCTGAAAAGGTTGGGCACTACTATTTAAATATAGAGCTTTGCAACCTATCGGGCTTACACGAAAAGATTGGCTTGCCACGCGCCTGGTTCTACGTCACATACAGTGTTTAACAAGCGGCTAAACAAGACGCCACATAGCACAGAAGACTGCAGAGGCAGCTTTTCGAATATTCTTGACCCCAAGAATAACACGACCAATAACGACGGGTGTTTCATAACTTGTGTTTCATAACTTATGTTTCATAGTTAGTGTTTCATAGTTAGTGTTTCATAACTTGTGTTTCACAACTTTGATTTAATAGTTTGTATTTCATTACTTGTGTTTCATACCTTTCATTTTATAGTTTGTATCTTATTACTTGTGTTTCATAACTTGTGTTTCACAACTTTGATTTAATAGTTTGTATTTCATAACTTGTGTTTCATAACTTTTGTTTCATAGTTAGTGTTTCATAACTTGTGTTTCATAGTTAGTGTTTCATAACTGTGTTTCATAGCTTATGTTTCATAACTTGTGTTTCAGTTGTGTCGGTGGTTCTGACGTCGATTCACTTGGCTTGTGATATCAAGTTTATACAATAAAATATCGTCCATTCACCGCTTCGTGAAACAGATACAGGATATCTGACTCAAGTAACACTTGACGAATAAAGATAAACAAAATATACAATCAATTTATACAGAATCTACAAACTTTATTCAGGCAATGGGTATACCTGCAAAGAAAACAATTTTATCGAATTACAAATTTAAATAAACATTCATTTTAGTCTTTTTACACGTGTTACCCAAGCAAGAATACAAGCACAATAGAAGTTTTTCTTTCCACTAACATCTTACCTCCCCTATATATGTACTCTAATCTAATTACCTATTACCACTTTGATGAATGTAAACATGGATATAGGAGAAGATATTTTCAGTATCACCCATAAGCATGCTATCTGCAGTCATACTGACGTGCCAGTTCGTTCCAATCCAAGGTTAATGACAAGCCCCACTACAGCCTGACGTCATGAGAGCCCATTGTTGTAAGTACTACTAACCACTTTTAGCACTTGGAATTAACAGAAGTTACCCGTAGCCTGTAGGCTGTTCACAACATATACTGCGGACACAGACATATTGAAGGTTACGGGTCGGACAGGTTATCGAACTCGCCGTGTAGATTTACTCTCCTGAGGCAGAAATCTACGATCAGGAGTTCAAATCCCAGATTCGCAAGGAATCTGTTTCTTGGTGCATGCACACACCCTACGGCTGAGCCGGCGTTTCAGTAAGTTCTCAAGGCCTGTATGCTCAACTGACATGCTTTCATATGAGGGGGATAATTTGAGCAGTGATAACCAACCACACTCTCTTATCGAATAATCTTTGGCAATACATACGAACTGTCACACCAAGCGTGAGGTTTTAATGTGGCTGCGCCTTATATATTATTACCGGCAGTTTGGGGATGCCGGCAAACTAAACAGCCGGCTCGTTCAGCCCATGACTGTGCTGGCAACGACTGGAGCAGCGGTGGACATCATTGGAGCAGCGGTGGTCATCACTGGAGCAGCGGTGGACATCATTGGAGCAGGGGTGGTCATCACTGGAGCAGGGGTGCTGACAACGATGGTGCCAACGGTAGTTTGCGACATTGCAGCCTCATGCTCGAGATGCTGAAATACGGCAAAGATGAAAACATCACCCTCAGGCTCTGGGATTATGTTATCCATCAACATAAACTTTTCTTCATTCTCACTGCCAGTGCAATAGAGTCGGAGGAGACACAGAGAATGAACTGTGAAGGCTTTTTGTGGCTCGGCCAAGATTAGCATGTAAAATATTTGATATTATGTTTGACCTCAAAATGCATTGTGATATTTTCAACAGGTATGCGCCGCAAACAGGTAAGATACAAGTTCTCTGCCCCGATTTGGTTTAATTCAAATGTCGTGTAGGTTACACCCAAAAGAAGAAAGAACATGCACAGTAAACAGTCGGGGACCACATTACGGTGCAGTATATTGTCCTGCGTATTTTGGAAGGTGCCTCACTGATTCAAAAACATCAGTAGGTAAATGTCAATTGTAATTATATCTGTGATATTAAAAACGTTTGATATATTTTACCATTATCCGGCACGTATTGTGTAACAGTCAACACATGTTGTATCATTTACAAACAGATAAGGTATCATAATATATCATGTTTAATATAACACGCTTTTAAATTGGTATTTACTGGCAATGTTACAGTGTCTGTTGGCTGACAGGTTGTGCTATACTCATTCCCCGATACCTCTGGACTGCCTGTTTTACATATTCTGTTAGACAATGTACTGCATGTTATTTCAAATTGAACTAAATCTAAATTGAATCTGCTTGCCCGCCCTTACCCTAATGAGCAGCTGATCGAAGCCATGAACCTGATCGTCTTCAATTTCTGCAACAAAAACGTCAAAAATGAGTCTCTTGACAAAGACGTCCCCCTTCATATTCATGATGGTCAACGTGTTTACCCTGAAGAGCGGGTAGCGTATCACGAAAGAACAAGGAGCGGAATGGGGGTAACGAAATGCGGTAAACTGAAGAGCGAACAAGTGGAGCCATTGACTTCTAGTGGTATCAAGAGACGTCAGATGTTCTTAGACCATGACAAGCATGTGGTACATATTTGGTATTCCTGTCCAGTGTATACGGTAGTTGTGGATAAAATGAAACGATACTCATGACCCATCTCTTCAAAGTGCTTTGAGCATGACATTGAACGTGGATATAGCGCTATAGAAATTGACCTTTTGGTTGTTATATTTATTATTTATTATATACATACGTGACATAAGGTCCAGGACGGCTGCGTAGCCCTTCTGGTCAATGTACTGGGTGAGGGTATTGTGTTCAGCAGCGTACAAGATCTCCAAGAAAACCCGCATGTCAGCGTGAGAGAGATCATCCTCAATCTTGTGTGCAAGGTGAAGTTCTCTCAGGAAGCTAAACAGGTCGGAGCCACTCTGTCGCTTCTGATCAAGGAAAGAAAAAACATCTTTCATTGTCTTTAGTTGATCTGAGGAATGTTTTAGCGAATTAGTTAAGTTAATCTACGGCCAAGGCACGAGCAAAATAACAGTGCCATCATTTCTACCACTGCATCTGTCGTGACCTTGGGGGACAGGTTTTAGCAGTATTAGAGATGTATTTTGGCAGGTCAGCTTTATCTGCGAATCCAAAGCGTTAGCCTGTAGTTGTAACATCCAAGTGGATTCTGGCGACTTAATACACCGTGGACTTTGGTTAGTACGAATGAATGACCATTGTTTACGAACAATCCAAAAGCAGGACTGTGTGTGAAGGTGTGCGTTCGTGTGTGTGTGTGTGTGCTGGTGTGATAACACACTATAGCGCAATATATCATAATTGAAGCATTTCTCATTTATAAATATATTTCTTCGTCATCACTTACTGTGTTACATGTAATCTTTGCTGACTGATTAATACCATAAATACTGAAGATTGCTCAAATCTACTCACAACTACGGTTGTTGGGGCTTGCTGCAGATGCTGAAACAGAACCGTATAACATACAAACATGCAATTATTCAGCATACAATGGACACACAGTGCCATCTAGGAAGTGGTCAAATGAAACACATGTTACATCGGGGTAACACTTTCTCAGTAAAGGCTTTCGGCCGTGGGAGCCGCGCCAATTCACAATTATCAGAGGGGTACACAAAGTCCGTGGTCTAGACTACCAGTTGTCAGTTGACTTCCATTTTTGTGGAAGCCGCGGTGGCTGAGCGGGTTAGGCGGCTGACTTTGCGTGCTGACGATTAGGTGCCCGACTCTGAGGGTGTGGGTTCGAATCCCGGATGGGACTCAACCCAACAAAAGTACTAGAATCTGTACTTTACTGAGGCTTACGACTTTAATGAGGTATTGCTGAGTGTTAAACAACAAAACAAACTCTACTGATGGCGAGAGGAACAAGCAGCTTGCTACTTACAGCCTCAAGGTAACCTTCAAAGTGGGGAATGTCGTCCTTGTCCAAATCTGAAGATATATCAAACATATGTGCACTTATCTACTTCATGTGATATTTGAATTATAGAAATACATTTTGTCAAACATATCAAGGGGTCAGTTTCTGTAAAAAATAGAAATAACTATATTAGGGTTATGCAACTAATATCGGTTTATTTTGCGGTTGTGGACACATTTTATTACAGAAATCATAGCACCAACCCGAAAACAATAAAATGGTTGAAAATAGATTCATATAATACTTCGGAAACAATTACAGATGAAAATAAAGCATACGACTTTATGGATAACAAATTCTTGTATATTGTATTTAGATTCTTACACCGTTATCTAAGAGTGAATCTAAGCGGTGTGAGAAACGACACCGAGAAGTCGCTCTGTGCAATAATCAAGAAGCTGTTATCCACATACTTTGATATTGACTCATCAACTTAGAGAATGCCGTTAAAGCAAGTGTTTCGACAGATAATCAAGACTTATTCCCTGGTATTGACAGGCTTTTTCTCATTCTGACAAACACTTCACGGCCAAACAGGACTAAACAGGTCCATCCGTGTGGGAGTATGTGTGTGCGTGTGCGTGCGCGTGTGCAATTAGAGTTTTGTGTCCATATCAGACAGTGTGTGTGTGTGTGTGTGTGTGTGTGTGTGTGTGTGTGTGTGTGTGTGTGTGTGTGTGTGTGTGTGTGTGTGTGTGTGTGTGTGTAACTCGTGTTTTGTGTCCATATCAAACATCTGAAACTTTATATGTGTGTAGTGTTAGGGTCCACCTGAAACGCCGTGTGTGTAGTTAGGGTCCACCTGAAACACCGTGTGTGTAGTTAGGGTCGACCTGAAACACCGTGTGTGTAGTTAGGGTCGACCTGAAACACCGTGTGTGTAATTAGTTATTTGTGTCCATCTGAATCTCGTGTGTGTATTAGGCGATCCATGACATTTTTGTGAGTACTTGGTGATTTGTTTCCGTCTGACATGCACATATACATACGATCAATGAGGCGGATGATGTTAGCGAAAGTCTGAGCTGAGATGAAGGATGTGAGGGAGGCACTGCCCTGCTCGGCAGCCTGGATCAGTTGCTGGTAAAGGGCCTGTTCAGTTGCGTCCATATGGGCAAACTCGTGGCTCTTTCGTATATCCTTCAGGTAGTCGGCGAATTTAGAAGCATCTGTGTAGTCGTGATGACTGTTGGCCATGACGGCCGTCACTGCTACCATCACAACAACTAGTAGTTTCATCATGCTGAAACAAGGAAAGAGTTTCTTAGAGGGCAAGAAGCCCGTTTTGGTATTACAAACTAATGAGTTTAAAGTGGTGAAATTCAGGCAAAAGACCGGGTTCGAATCCCAGTATGGTGAACTCGGTTATTGGTGTGGAAGGACCATAACTCAAACAGACATCAAAGTTTTGGGCAAATGCTATTATTAATGAGAGTATATTCTTGGCAGTGGGTATGCCGGTGTTTTTCACATTTTCTTAGGTTGCTCTTAAGTTGCAGACAAGGGAAAAAACAAACAAAAAGCAAAAAAACAGATACAGAGTTTCGAACAAAGCACCAAATCTATCACATTAACTTTAGATATATCCGATGATCTGTTTTAGTTCAGTTACCATCACCGATTTACCAAACTCAAATTGAAATCTAAAAGACCAACGACCTCGTCTGGTTCCTATTTGGATGTAGGCATAACGACTCAAAGTCAAGTTTCCCCCTATGTCGAGCAATATTCGAGGAACTCCGCCCTTTGGATCCGAAACAGCGTCATACGTCTCTCGCTCAGACGTTTTATCAGTGATATAACATTCCCTGCCTCAGTAGAGGTCTCACAACGTTATGGTTGTCATCAAGAAGACATGTCCCTACTGGACGCATCAGTGACACAACTGATGTCCGTTCGCTGTTTGTACCACATACTCCAGTGTTGTTCCCGATTTGTCAGCTGCACTATTTACTTGCCTCTTCGTGTGTTTGTGAAGGATCCACTGGTAAAGCGGCCTAAGTTTACCTTTTGGCAACATTTTGATTGACAATTATGGTTTTGTCAACACTGGCAATGAAGACAAGTTGAAAAAGTACAACATTCTTATAATCCCAGGGATATACCTGGATGGCTCGCCTTATTCCCTTAAAACATCATCCAGCTAGTCACAATGTAGTACACAAGTCAAACTCGTAGGCTAAATCTACATCCGGACACTGTTAGATCTGGTTGTTCCAGGAAATATCAGTAATGAAAGACCAAGTCTCTGATTCTCAGTTCTCATTATCAGATGCTAAAGCAATTATTCGCCATAAAATGAACTATGGTAAAATGAAAATCGTTATATATAATATACATTTGTAAATTCACATTAATCCCATTATTAAAACATTATTTTCGAAGACGGCTCGATGTACTGTACAATGCATTTATAAAATAAATATAGAATGCAGATTGAATTTTCAAGGAAAGTGAGAGGTAAGAACAGTGAGAAAAACAAAAATATACCTGTCGTGTTTCACTGCTGGCAACACTAAATGTGACTTCTTGTGTCTCACTGACCTTCTTATACTTTGATAAAACACAGGATAGGCTCCTTAGAAGCTCACCTGACCAGTTTACGTCTGTTCATGTCCTGGATATAGGGCAAAGTTTTAGGTTTGATTTTGTGCTTGAACTTCAGTTAATGTAAGCGCTGCTTTACATTGCACCATCAAAACGGCTAGTATTTTATCAAGCATAAGTTAAGGGTTACAGTTAATTGTGACTGTCGCGGTGTAATGACACAAAGTTACTGAGAAGTGGAAACGTTGATTTGGGAACCAAAAAATGTCTTAAAGTTCTTCAAGACTTATGGTAAAATGGCGTGGGTGATCGCGGAAAGTACTTCAAGGCTTATGGCAAAATGGCGCAGGTGAATTTGAGTTTGATATATCCTTTTGCTTAGCACAACTTTTCTGGTCCATTGATCACTTCATTGTTTGGTCTGTCTACTGGTCTCCGTTGCAAGTCAGGGTACTGCCGTGCGGGTCAGGCAATAGATACTTTTCATGCAAATTCTGCGAGTGCCATCGGTAGGGCAGGACACGCTTACCAGTTTCGCGAACACCTGTGCTGACGTGGGGTTTTGGGCGATTTAATCCCGGTCTGTTGGTCTCCATTCGAGTATCTCCATAGAGTACCTCCGTTGAAAGTTTCACATGAAATAACGTCATTGTTATGTTACCAAGGAAGTTTAGCGTAATGAAATGAATGTAAGATACAATGGATAGTCAAGGCTGTCTTTGCCTCAGGCAATGACGGTTATACATGAGGACCTCCTTGGGCTTTGTGCTCTACAGTGTAGCAGTCCGTTTAAATGTACATGTAAAAGTATACGATATCAGTAATGTTACTATATTTTGACAATTTGCAGAGAGTAATACCTCCTGGGTCGTTGGATGTGATACTTAGATATACACTCGAGGTGAGCACCGTTGGTACCGTTGGAAAGCTTGGAATGTACAAACATTTTCCAAAACCAATGTTGCCAGACTTGAAAGTGTCAGGCAATATGTCATTTTTGGGAGTTTCGATAGTAACAATACTAGTTTTCAAAGAACAGGACTGCTATATATAAAGGAATATATCCTCAATATGAATAAACAATAAGGTTAAGGCCACAGTGATCCAATTTGTTTCTACTCTTGCTTGAAATTCTATGTTCTACCTTATCGTTCTTAAAGACTGAGTATGGTATAGGTATAGCACCATGTATTTGGTACCATAAGACACTTCACAGACTCAGCTTTCGCCACGGTGGCAACCGGGATTTTCCGTGGCATTTCATCCAGCTAGTCACAATGTAGTACACAAGTCAAACTCGTAGGCTAAATCTACATCCGGACACTGTTAGATCTGGTTGTTCCAGGAAATATCAGTAATGAAAGACCAAGTCTCTGATTCTCAGTTCTCATTATCAGATGCTAAAGCAATTATTCGCCTTAAAATGAACTATGTTAAAATGAAAATCGTTATATATAATATACATTTGTAAATTCACATTAATCCCATTATTAAAACATTATTTTCGAAGACGGCTCGATGTACTGTACAATGCATTTATAAAATAAATATAGAATGCAGATTGAATTTTCAAGGAAAGTGAGAGGTAAGAACAGTGAGAAAAACAAAAATATACCTGTCGTGTTTCACTGCTGGCAACACTAAATGTGACTTCTTGTGTCTCACTGACCTTCTTATACTTTGATAAAACACAGGATAGGCTCCTTAGAAGCTCACCTGACCAGTTTACGTCTGTTCATGTCCTGGATATAGGGCAAAGTTTTAGGTTTGATTTTGTGCTGGAACTTCAGTTAATGTAAGCGCTGCTTTACATTGCACCATCCAAACGGCTAGTATTTTATCAAGCATAAGTAAAGGGTTACAGTTAATTGTGACTGTCGCGGTGTAATGACACAAAGTTACTGAGAAGTGGAAACGTTGATTTGGGAACCAAAAAATGTCTTAAAGTTCTTCAAGACTTATGGTAAAATGGCGTGGGTGATCGCGGAAAGTACTTCAAGGCTTATGGCAAAATGGCGCAGGTGAATTTGAGTTTGATATATCCTTTTTTGCTTAGCACAACTTTTCTGGTCCATTGATCACTTCATTGTTTGGTCTGTCTACTGGTCTCCGTTGCAAGTCAGGGGTACTGCCGTGCGGGGTCAGGCAATAGATACTTTTCATGCAAATTCTGCGAGTGCCATCGGTAGGGCAGGACACGCTTACCAGTTTCGCGAACACCTGTGCTGACGTGGGGTTTTGGGGCGATTTAATCCCGGTCTGTTGGTCTCCATTCGAGTATCTCCATAGAGTACCTCCGTTGAAAGTTTCACATGAAATAACGTCATTGTTATGTTACCAAGGAAGTTAAGCGTAATGAAATGAATGTAAGATACAATGGATAGTCAAGGCTGTCTTTGCCTCAGGCAATGACGGTTATACATGAGGACCTCCTTGGGCTTTGTGCTCTACAGTGTAGCAGTCCGTTTAAATGTACATGTAAAAGTATACGATATCAGTAATGTTACTATATTTTGACAAAATTTGCAGAGAGTAATACCTCCTGGGTCGTTGGATGTGATACTTAGATATACATTGGAGGTGGGCACCGTTGGTACCGTTGGAAAGCTTGGAATGTACAAACATTTTCCAAAACCAATGTTGCCAGACTTGAAAGTGTCAGGCAATATGTCATTTTTGGGCGTTTCGATAGTAACAATACTAGTTTTCAAAGAACAGGACTGCTATATATCAAGGAATATATCCTCAATATGAATAAACAATAAGGTTAAGGCCACAGTGATCCAATTTGTTTCTACTCGTTCTACCTTATCGTTCTTAAAGACTGAGTATGGTATAGGTATAGCACCATGTATTTGGTACCATAAGACACTTCACAGACTCAGCTTTCGCCACGGTGGCAACCGGGATTTTCCGTGGCATTCTTCATGTGAATAAATCAAAGATAACATCAATATTTTGCCTTATGCATATGTTTTAGTGATTGCTTGTGTCACATGCAACTCAACTGTTTACAACCAGGGACATGAAAATTGTTCAAAGGCCGAGGGCAAGTTCGAGGTCACATGAACAAGAACATGCTTGCTAATTTTAAATACACGTCAGATGTTTAAAACATCACTTCGACATAACGGATAACGTACGTATCGATTGTACTTTTCGGCACTATTCATGCTATATGACGGTGGTCTGTAAATAATCGTCTCTGGACCAGGCAATCCAGTGATCAACTTCATGAGCATCGATCTAAGCAATTGGGATACGATGACAATTGGGATACGATGTGTCAACCAGCCTGACCTCCTCATCCAGTTAGTCACCTCTTTCGACAAACATGGGTTGATGAAGGCCAGTTCATGGGTTTATGTCAGGATGTCCAGACATATAATCCACATCATAAACTGAATATGATACAACAAACATCGGTAAAGCTGAAAACTAATACCACCAGAGTTTCAGAATGAACTTGTAATTGTAGTCCATGTTGACAACATTCTAACCTATCACAATCTACTAACATTCTCCATGCCGTACTTGTAAGACATGCGTTAACATTTTTACGGAATGACCATTATTAAGTACACTAAAATTCTGCAGATCATGTCCTATTCAGCAAGTTGTTTATGGTAAATATGGCTGACTAACATGGCTGTGCTACCAGACATGGTATTGTCATTTCCTGATGTCCATGG